TTGTGTTGTTCGCATTTTTTTTTTTTTTTTTGAGAGATTTTCACTATAGGGCGCGTGCGCTCGCCAGACAGACAGAGACAGACATAGAGACAGAAAGCGAGAAATCACCCCCCAGGGGGGATGGTCATGCCACAATCCCTTCTCCTCCATTCTCCTCTCGGGATCTTGGGCACGCACGCACACGTGCCCGGCGTGAGTTTTAAGCCACCGGGTCTGGGACGCGAACCGTGGTTGACTACGTGGGAGTCCAGCGACATAGCCATTACGCTAACTGCTGGTTCCCTGTTGTTCACATTTTGAGGTAATGTTCTGTTCATACTGGGTTCGGATAAAACATGTCATTATAATTCATTCTAATGTCTTGTCTTTTTATTGCGACTACTAGGAAAATGTAACTGACCCGCGTGACTCCCATTATATTCTCGCTGGGCACGCTGAGCTAAGGCTCGTTCCTACACCATTTAGAACTGAATGCTGCTCATAGTGACTCTGCTTCTCAAACTTAGAGATGAGCAGACAGGGGAAGGAGTGCCAGACGTTCCATGAACCGAACTTGGTGTTCTACTGTTGAGCTAAGGGGCTGGGGTGCGGCAGTGGTAAGGGGAGTCCTGTACGGGTACCCGAAAAGAAGGGCAATTCCCGATGCTGTCTGCAGTCTGGCTGTCGTTCTCCCTTCCAGTAGGAGGCGACAGGAGCTACAGGACAGAGCCCCAAGCCCAATTCTGTCTGGCATACTTGACTGAGAGTTCAATGCACATGGGGGGGTTCAGGTTCCTGCTTTCCACGCTAGGTGGTCACTCACTCTCCTGGACCCCGCCTCTGCAACGTAATCTACTTCCTACGAATGTCTCTATCCGGGGATTCCTACAAATGTCATCCTGTAATGTGGCCTTTTCCGGCTGGCTTCTTCCACTCAGCACAGTTTTCAAGGTCCATCCACATGTGCAGCGTGGATTTCAGCAGGTACCCGCACTCCATGCCTTCCTACGGCTGCACACTTCACATCTGGTCTACCCTTCACCTGTGGATGGGCACGTGGGCTGCTCCCGCTCTCAGCTAACTGAATAATGCTGCTATGAACATTTGTGGACGAGCTCCTGTGTGGACGCATTCTTAAAAACAATTTGTTCTTAAAGAAAAGCAGAGGCCGGAATTTTAGCACTTTTGATAAGGATAATGAAGCATAGAGCAGAAAAATACTTAAAGCAAGCGCCATGTCACCTGGCATTCCTCACCCTCATGCCTCACTCGCGATGTCCCCTGGCATTCCTCGCACCCATCCCTCACTCACTACACCAACCCAACACCTACACTCCCTTCCAGCCCCTCCACTGTCTCCTCTTCCACTGTCACCACCCTGGCTGGGGCTGGAATGACTCACATGGACAGTGACAGTGCTCCACTTCCTGTGTCACCCCCCCCAACTCTAGCCGTATCACTTCCTCCTGCTTCGGGACTCCCTCGTGCTACTCCTAACTTCTGGGTTTTCAGATATACATCTTTCAACGCCTGGAAACCTGGGGATGTCACAAAGTTGGTTTTTAGTGGTGGTCAGAGCAGAATCTTAAACAATTTTGTTCTAGGGGCCAGCAGGTGGCACGGTGGTTGAAGCACTGAATTCCCGCACGGCTGACTGTAGTTCGAGTCCCTGGACTTGGTGGCTTGCTTTCTTACTTTCACTATCTCTCTGGTCAAATTAAATAATAATACTAATAAATAAGATGAAATAGTCCTTTTCTTTCTCTCTTTTTTTAAAAAGAGATTTTTGCTATTGGACATGTGCGCCTGCCAGACAGGAAGCTAGAAATCATGCCCCCCCCCACCCCTGTGACGGGGTTGGCCATGTGGCAATCCCTTCTCCTACATTCTCCACTTCGGAATTTGGGCACACATGCTCAAGTGCTCAGAGTGTTTTAGGCTGTTGGGTCCAGGACTTGAACCACAGTCGACTATGAGGGAGTCCAGCAACATAACCATTATGCCAATCTGCTGGTCCCAAGGTTAAATGATTCTAAAAAAATATAAAGTCTTTTTCTAGTCTACTGCTCTAACATGCCACAATGCTATCTTCCTTAATACTCATTTTAAATGCACAGAATAATCCCTAAACTCTTTATCATCAAAGTCAGTAAGGTTAGGAGGAGTAATACGTTTTTAAGGTTAGGAGGAATAATACGTTTTAAAAATGTTTTTTGTCATAGGGCACGTGAACTCACCAGAGACAAACAGAGAGAGGCAGAGAGGGAAAACGAAAAATTGATCCCCCAGGGCGACGGCCACACTGCAATCCCTTCTCCTCCCAGGATCCTGGGCACGCATGCACACGTATGCTCACGCAGCTGACATGACTGACAAGCAGCCAGGTCTAGATCTGAACTGTGCCTGGCCATGTGGGACTCCAGCGCCTTAACCACTATAACATCTGTAGGCCCCAACTTAGTATTATTTTGGTATTTACGTGAAACTGAAAGTAAGGGAGGCAGTACCCCTCGGTCATATGTGAAGAATCCACCAGCAGCAAGAACTGTCGCCAAGGGTAAGAGTTTAAAAAGTCAAGTATTTTGGAGCACACTATAAAATTCCAGAACTCAAAGCCTGTGCGTGGGGATCTGGCTGTTTACTCACAATATAATATTGTATCAACTGCAAGAAACAAAATGCGACGCCCTGTTACCTGGATGGTGACTGTGATACCAGGAACAGGGAGACGAGGCTTCACATCTAATGCCTCCACTGTTCTTCATTTAACTAGGTAATTTTCTTACTCCTCGATTTTTGAACCTTGTGCAAAGAATTTTCCATACAAAGTAACTTGAGGCAGAGCTACCAAAACTTCAGTGGTGATATGACAAAATATCCTGGCCCACAGCCTTTACGGAGCCACTGGCAGGGAGGAGTTACTTCTGTGATGTTTACTTTCTACTTCCCTTGGCCTACATTTTCTCTAAAGTGGTGATTCTCGGTGACCTGAAACCCAGGCTGCTCCGCCTGCCCTTTCACCAACCGAACCAAGCACGACCTGGAAACAGATCATCAGACAGACTGCTGGGTGGAACTGCAGCTCTACTTCCTGTGCTCATGGGGCCAGGGGACAGAAACCAGCCTCAGGGTGGCGAGGTGCAGAGGAGCCGTGGCTCAGTGCTCAGACTGATAGGACGCCTGGTGAGGACGAGGGTGCTGTCATTCTGGTTTAAGGTGCGGGCTGGTTGGCTTGGCCCTAGGGTGCGGTGGTAGTTAAGCACAGTGCACTGGGAGCCACATCCCAAATGGCTGACCACAGTTTGAATCCTGGCCCCAGTGGCTTGAAAAATAGACCGGGCAAGTGTGCGTGCCTACCCAAGATCCAAGATCCACTGCAGGTGTTTCTCTCTCTTTCTTGCTCTTAATCAGCGCACGTGTTCTCTGGCAATGAGAAAAAAATGGTCCCACTGACCCAGTAATCCTCCTTCAAATCATTCTAATTATTTACCCTTGGGCAGCGCGCACACACAAAGTAAATATTTACTGTAAACCTCTACTAAAGTCAACATGAACCGTAAGTATTAATTAGAGTAAGTGATATTGGCCACGTTTCAGCTGGCCATTCATGAAAACATTAGGTTACTGCTGCTAACCATTTCTACCTGTTAGGCCGGGCCTGAGCGAGGACTCAATGGCTACAGCCTACATGGCATTAGTACGGCTTTGGCTACACGAAGAAGGAAATAGGAAGCCCACCCTCCGTGAGATTGGCCCTGCGGTGAGAATAGGCTAAGCCATCAGGAAGGAGGTGCAGGAGAAGAACAGGAACTCATACCTCCTCCTCCAGAACATCACAAGCCAAGTGGATGCGGGACACGTCCACTCGATGGGGCTCAGACTTCAACTTCTTGGATCGTAGACTCCAAAGTTTTATACAGGAGTTGTCAAACCCAGCAGCGAGCAGCTTGCTGTCCGGGGAGATCTCTGCCGTGTTGAGCAGCTGCTCCGTGTTGTAGAAGGCATAGAAGCAGATGGTGGTGAGGGAGGGCGGCCCGTCCTTGACGCGCTTGATGCTCTCCTGCAGGACCTCCAGGGCAGCCTCATTCTGCAGAATGGGGCTGGGCACGTCGGGGGGCTCCAGGCCGTTGCTCTCGCTGCGGGAGGAGCCGGCGTAGAGCTGGTAGTCCGTCCTCTTGGCAGGCTGCACGTCGAGGTGTATGTGCAGGGTGAGGACCTTGCACAGGGCAGTGTTGTTGTCACTCTGGAGGTAGCGGATAAGGTAGTTGTAGCTGTCTTCTTGGAGACGGACCACATACTTGTTGTCTAGGAATGCTCGAAGCTTGAAGTTGGACAGGATGTCCTGGACGGTCTGCGTGGTCTGCAGCTGCTCGATGACGTCCTTCTGGGTGGCATTCTGCAGAAACATCCCGTGGAAGCGGCTGTAAAAGCTCTCCACTGTGCTCTTCGGGCTGTTCTGGATCAGGTTGAGGTGGAGGTAGACAAAGAGAGGATAGAGGAGAGGCATCACTTCGTGGCTATGTTGGGAATCAGAATCTACAACAGAAAACAAGCGAGGGCTTTACAATGAGCACCATCTCACTGGACGAGGAGAAGATCCTGCTTTCGGGGACTGCGGGCTGAAACGAGCTCGACCTAGAATGACGGAATTTCCGGCCTTTTGGTCAGAGGAGGAAGAGCAAGGAACCTGGGCTCGAGTGGCCACCAATCAGCAACTCGATGCCCCAGGGGTAAGAGACCTGTCTCAGTTCTCACAGCTGCTCAGCGGCTTGTACCCAAGTCTTCAAGGTCTAGCTATGTTTCCTAGTATATTTGTGTTTCCCGGATTGGGCACCTCAGATCTCTGAGGGTCCTTAGAATCTCAGGAGACCGTGAGTTCGTCACAAAAACTCTTCAACTTGACGATAACCTAAAGAACAATGGACACAGTATATTCAGAATTTTCTGGATGGCCACTTAGTGGGTGAAGGCTGACACGCAGTGCACTGAACAGTCCAGGATTACTTCCTGCATGTCACCTGGAGTAAAATCACAGCATTCATCTGACTATCCAGGGTGGCATGTCCTATGTGAAGATGACAATATTCCTAACTGTCCCCAATCTGTCAGTTTACTCCCGTTTTGTTTTTTTTTTTAAGGTAAAGGAGCAGGTATGTGCACACGAGCGAGTGAGAGAAAAAATACACTCGACAGAATCTTGCAGTGCCCTGATCCCTTCTCCAGCCCTTCAGTTCGTCGGGATCGTGGGCACTTCACGAGTGCCTGGGACACGTTCAGGCTGACTAGGGATCTGAATCTCAGAGGGCCATGTGGCCTGAAGCACAGCAGTCCAGGATGCTAAAGACTGCTCCACCAGGCTGGGCCAGTGCACCCATTTCAATTCTGTTGGTTAAAACCTTGGGGCCAGCCAGTGGTTAGAGTGGCCAGATTCTATGGGGCAACTATGTCTTTCGCGTCCTGGATTTGGAGGCTTGAAACACTCAGGGTATGTGTGTGTGCGTGTGCACGCCCAAAGTCCCTAAAGAATATAGGAGAAGGGGTTGTGGCATAGTCACCTCTGCTTTCTTACTCTCTCTCCATAAGTGCACATGCTCCATGGCAAAAAAACAAAACAAAACAAAACAAACAAACAAACCTCACAGCTTTACTTCTCACGGGCAAAGGAGTGAAGGACGGCGATGTGCCTGACACCCGAGTCAGGGTCTGTGGCAAGTGAGAGCTCACAGCACGCTGTGGGGCGAAGGTTTCGTGGCTGTCCCGATGCAGATGGTGCGGAGAGCAGAGGCTGCTCCGAGCACACCCCCAGGGAAGCTGAGCTGATATCACTTGCCTCATGGCCCCCAGACACCCAGACATCTGTTTGCAGTAATAAATTAGTTCTGGCAAAATCCACCCACTGTATTTACTGTTAATTTCAACTTTATTGCTTCTGTGGTATTGCTTGTCCTTCATTTGTAATGAGTTTGGGTTTCAAACAGAAATAAAATAAGCATATAAAAGTTTTATATCTCATGTAATGCTTGTATATACTTAAATAAACTGAAATTTTTACATTCTGCTAGTATTCTTTCCTCCCATGAAGAGGAATCTATACAGGGCTGAAGACAGAAGAACACTGCATTAGAAAATCGTGTCTCCCTGGGGCCGGCAGGTGACATGGTAGTTAAAGGCGTTGGACTCCCACATGGGTGGCTACAGTTCAAGTCCTGGACCTGGAAGCTTGCTCTCTCTCTCGTCTCGCTCGGGTCAAATGAAAAAAATAACAATAGTAATAAATAAATAATTCTAAAAAAAGAAAAAAACCCTTTCATATCCTTAAAAAAAGAAAGAAAATCGTGTCTCTCTAATTTGATGACTAGTACCAGTTTGCTATCTCTGCTTAACATCCATTTCACTTAATCACAATGTGAATCAATTTACATAATATGTGTATTTTAAAATAAACATATCCCTATGCAAATACCTATTTAGAAGATGAACTTAAATAACAACAATTGCTCTGACCTGGATGTCAGGACAGCTCCCCAGCCACTGTGAGCTCTGTTTGCCTCGGGGTCAGCTGGCAAAGGGAGTCACTGTGCTGGGGGTGAAATCGGGCTGCGGCTCCACAGAGGCTGCAAAGAAGAGGAGGTGTGGCCTATGGAGACTCTCCTGGGGGCCTCCTAATATTACCACGCCTGCTATTACAGATCAGTGGGAAACCAACAACGCAATCCTGGAAGGCCCAGGCCCTTCAGGAATGAGGGTTTCAGGTAAAGAAGCCTCTGCAACCAGCCGAGGAGCTTGCTGATGGTGAATGGAATACAGAATGGGAGGAGGAAGGGCCAGGATGCCACTCACCCCTAGGTGACCAGTTACAGATGCAAGGTTCGTACAGCCCCGAGTAGTTCTTCCTGACTTTGCTCAGAGCACGTGTATGCATGTGTGTCCAGACACATACTAATCAAGTATCCTCTCTTTCACCCCTCATCACCAGCACGTGTATTTGTTTTATGTCACAGTTAAGCACCGTCAATGTCACATCACAGTATTTGAGTTCAGGAGTACTGCACATGAGAACAAGCATCACCCCAGGACCAGCAGCCTCCGGCCAGGACAGGTGAGCAGTCTGGGCACACACAGGGTAGTCTACTACGCTAGAAGGGGAGCTCCGTCACTGTCTTAGGGATTAAGGCTAGAATACGGAGATACCGATGGTGCCAAGTCTACAGGGTGGACTTGAATGTAATTTTGTGACAACTGCCTGGGCCGTGGTACCCAGAAACTCAGTCAAACATTACTCTCCATGTTGTGAAGGTACGCATTTTACTAGAGGGTAGGGACATGTATGAGAGTGAGCGAGAGCGAGCGAGTGCACAAGAATATCCTTCTCAATGAGGTGTGATCAAGGTCAATCCCTTTTCCTCCACTTCTCCACCCTAACATGTTTTGGGCACGCATGTACACACCCTCAGCGTGCTTTTTGAGCCAGTCCTGGGGCTAGGATTTGAACCCTGGTTGGCCATTTGGGATGTGGCTTTCTCTGTGCAGTACTTAACCACTGGGCTATGAGGCCAGCCCAAACGTTCATTTTACTTTAGAGAATTTGCACTGGGTATGTGCCTCTGTGGAGCCACGCACTTCATTCCCACCCTTAAGGTTAAGTAGGCGTCATAGCTGGGCCGGTTCAAATGCAGGGGTCACTGGACTCCCAAGTCTCTGCTCTTTCCACCGCGCCTCATGAAGAGGCCCCCTCACAACAGGTGCACCTCCAGCTCCGTCTCTCGTTTACGTCTCACATGGGACTTGTGGAGGAAACCCATGCGCAATGGGACAGCCTTACAGCGCACCTCCCCCAGTATCCTCGTCCAAGTTTTGCTCAGTTCTGACTTTAACTCACACCTCATGTGGCCAACGTGGACTGCAGTCGGCACCTTTCTCTTAAATCCCAGCCGCACACTCCCTACTGCAAGCTATACAGTAGGACGCTGCTGTCAAAACGAGCATGAAAACACACCCCTCCGACTTATTTCCGGTCCATGTACCCTCCTGCCCATCCCGGTCCCAAAGCCTGGGTCGGCTCACCCTCAAGCCTGGGAGGGTCTGCCTCAGTAACGTCAGATATGCAGTCAGGATCCCACCTTGCATTTCCACAACACTGTCAAGCTCTGATCATCCTTGGGTCATTTAGGCATGGCGCAGACGGGAATCAATGGGCCCACCATCCAGCTGCCCCACTCACAGACCACCTCCAAAGCTGCTTTCAGACTAACGCGTCTACTCTCAGTTTGACAGCCTCACAAGATGCTGGGTCCTTAACCGTTCCTGCAGAATCGTTGCTCTTCGCCTGTCTTTCTACTTAGCCAGACACTCCCCCTCCTCCTCCACATCCACTGAAACGCCATCAGCTGGTGGCAAGGTCTTCTCTATCACTTTGGACCAAGTCACTTTCTCCTTTCATCCCAGACACAACTGCTGTGTACACAGATCAGCAACCGATCTCCTACTGGTTGTGAAAACACTTCTCCTATATTCAAATTTTACTAACAATTTTTTACTTTATTTTTTGAGAGAGATTTTTTGCTATTGGGTGTGTGTGCTCAATGGAGAGACAGAGACAGAGAGACAGACAGTGAGGAATCACTTCCCCACAGGATGGCCACACTACAATCCCTTCTCTATTCTCTTCTCAGGACTTTGGGCATGCGTACGTACGCACTGGCATGAGTTTTAAGCCACCGGGTCCAGGACTAGAACCACACTCAGCTACGTGGGAGCCCAGAGATGTAACCATTACGCCATTTGCTGGTCCCAGCTGTTAGCTTCTTAAGTGAGGGTTGCTTCCAAATCAGATTGATGACTGTATCTCCTACTTTACCTGGGCGCTCAGGAAATACCTGTTCATCTGGTTTTGTTGACTGCTTTTCAGAGGCCTCAGGGTGGAGAAGAATGCACCAGAAAAAGCAGGCCAGTGAACAATACATATTGACATAATCTGTGACCAGTGGGTTAAAGAATCAAATCAGAGACAAAATAACAGACGACATTCTCAGTTTTGAACAAGAGAACAATCACAAAGGAAGTGGCCAACAGACGCCAATCTACTGAATATAAAGTTCTGGGCAAAGGAAACCACCAGATGAGGATAAAGCAGATACCATGCATTAAGGAAAAACAGCACAGGGGGGTCAACAGCTATTCCATATGAAAAGCCATGGTAAATATTTAAGAAAAACAAGAGACCCAAGAGATACCCGGGAAAGGATGTGAACACATAAAACATTTTTAAGGAATTATTTTATTTATTAACTCATTTATTTTTTAATTTGACCAGAGAGAGATACAGAAAGAGGGAAAGTGAAAAAGCAAGCCACCAGGTCTGGGACTTGAACTGTAGTCAGCCATGTGGAAGTGTCCAGCACCTTAGTCACCATGCCTGCTGGTCACATGAACACATACATCTGTTCCAGAAAATATCACATGAGTGATCAACTAACTGTACTAACGCTTTACTGCAGAAATCATCAGTTCTGTAATAGTAATATTATTTCAACTAGTCTGCTTTATAATAGCTAAGCTCCATGATTAAAAAGCAATTAAACAGGGCCAGCGAGTGGCATGGTGATTAAGGCTCTAGATCCCACAGGGCCAACTGTGCAACTGGGAGTCCTGGACCTAGCTGCTTGAAAAACATGCTGGGCACATGTGCATGGGTACCCCAAATCCCAGGAGATGGGATGGGAAGGGATTGCAGCTAACCCCCTAGGGGGTGCTTTCTCTCTTGCTCTCTCTGTCTCTCTCTCTCCAGAGAGTACATGCACCCTATAGTTAAAAATAAGCAAATAAATACACACCCACAGAGGAAAACCTGTGTACTGTCAGTAGGCGACCTGGGTGTCGTTCATAATTGAGTCCTCTCACCAGCACGAACACACAGAGCCCATTGCCACAGCCTCACACACCTGGAGCCTTACTTGGATCGTCCTTGTTGGACAGCAAGCTCCGTGAAGAAAGGGACCATCCGTTTATCTCACGACAATCTTACCTGGAATGCAGTCAGCACTTTATAAAACACAGGCTGGCTGAATGGAAGAGACAAGCTGAAGGCGGACAGGCATTTCCTAAACCAGATTCCCTATTATTAGACTAGCGAGAGAAAACTATCATGAAAAATATACTTAAAAATAACTTTCTACTTTTTTTAATTGCCAGAGGGCATACCTGAGGGAGACAGGGAGAAAACACCTTCCAGTGGGACGTGGCTAGGCCCGAATCCCTTCTGCTCTACTTTACCCTGTCGGGGCTTTGAGCACACACGCACTTGCACACAGTGTTTTTCAAGCTGCTGAAACTTGGACTTGAACCATGTCAGCTGTGTAGATTCTAGCTCCCTTACCCACTAGGGCACAGGGGCTGGCCCCAGCTTTCTAAAAAGTGACTTAAGATTTTTTTTAAAAAAAAATGGTTTAAAACCTCAAAATAAACTCCAATGCTTAAAAATAACTTTAATTGGGGCCAGCAGGTGGTATAGTGATTAAGACACTGGACTCTCACACAGCTAACCACGGTTTGAGTCCTGGACCTGGTAGCTTGAAACTCAAGCCAGGCACGTGTATGTGCATGCTTAAAAATCTCGAGAAGAAACAGAGGAAAAGGAATTGTGGTTTGGCCATTTCCCCCAGGGGGTAATTTTTTGCTTTCTGTCTCTGGTGAGCACACACACCCTATAGCAAAAACTTTCCTTAAAAAAAAATATTAAAAAAAAAAATTTATTGTCTGTAAGTTCTGGCTTACCTATAGAATGATGAAAAATTCAGATTTTCTTTGTAATTCTTAGTGAAGATGGAAAGCAGCCAATTATTGATCTGAGGTATTTAACATTCCTACATGATATGAAGAACTTAACAGAGTTTCCTTCTTTTCAGTTTAAATGTAGAATTCTTTTTTTTTTTTTTTTTTTTAATTTGCTATAGGGCACTTGTGCACTTGGAGGAGACAAAGAGGAGAGAGAGTTAGGGTGAGAAGGCACCCTCTAGGGAGGTGGCCACCACGGGACCCCTGTCCTCCATTCTCCTCTCAGGATTTTGGGCACACACATGCCCCTAGTGTGGATTTGAAGCCATAAGGTCTGGGCTTGAACCACACAGCGAGCTACGTGGGCTCCGGCTGCCCTAACTACTGTACCAGCGGCTCCTGCAGAACGGACTCCTTTTACTTCCTTAAATCCTCGTGACTGCTCCTTTTTCTGTCACTGTTTAACACTGCTCTCTACTCAGTAATTCCATTCCTTGACAACAGTGAGAATGACAAGATAACCTACATTAGGGCTTTTCTGTGTAACCGTTACTTCCTGTAACATGGTCATTTCCCTAAACTACAAACAGACGTAGATGAAGATTCTTTCCCTTAAAACACCAACTAACCGTTAAGGATGTCTAGTGAGACAAGGCTGATGCTGTATGTGTGTGTAAGACTAGGTGTATCATTTTGGTTGGTTTTTGTCACCTTGTATGCATCTATACCGTTAAATCGGAAATGGAAGGATTGTTCAAATAAGGAAAAATAAAGTGAAAAAGTTCTCTATAATTTACTCCTAACCAGTATCCCCTAATTATTCTCAGTCCTGTGAGGGAGTTTTCTAATACTTATTTATTTTTTTTGGAGAGGTTTTAGCTATAGGGTGCATGCACTCACCAGACAGACAGAGAGATAGAGAGACAGGAAGCGAGAAATCACCCCTCAGGGGGAATGGCCACACCACAATCCCTTCTCCTCCATTCTCCTCTCGGGATCTTGGGCACGCACGCACAGGCACCTGGGGTGAGTTTAAGCCACTGGGTCCGGGATTTGAACCACGGTCGGCTACATGGGAGTCCAGCGACATAGCCATTATGCTAACTGCTGGTCCCAAATTCTTATTGTGTTTTATGTACAGAAAGTACTTAGCAAGATTTTGATTAATAACAAGAATCCACGTGATGTCTCTCACTGTGAGCTTTCCAACATGAAAATGGTGATCAGTCACCTTGGGAGTGGGAGAGATCCTTTAGCCTTCCAATTAATTACTTCTTCATCCCACACGTGGGGACACTAAGGTCCCAGGGAGGTTAATGATTACATTTTTAAAAGCAATTCCCAAAAAAGTCATACAGTGAGTTAGAAGAAATGATTAGAACTCGTATGTACTGATTTTGGGTTTTAGTGGTCATTTTCCACCCATAAAAGGGGATAAAGTACAACTTCTAATTTTTCATTTGTTGATTCATACCAAGTATTGTCTTGCAGTTTTGTTTTTCAATTTGCTATAAGGGTGGTGTGCTCACAGAGAGAGGCAGAGAGAGGGAAAGTGGGAAATCACCCCCAGGGGGACGACCACGCTGCAATCCCTTCTCCTCCATTCCCCACTCAGGATTCTGGGCATCTCATGCACACATCCCCTGCGTGATTTTCAAGCTGCTAGGTCTGGGACTCAAACTGCAGTCAGCCATCTTGACCACCACGCCACTAGCTTGGCCTGTCTTGGTTTTGGGAAATGAAGGGCAAAGAGTATTTGACATACCTACATTGCTAATGGAGATATCAGTGTATATTTCAAACATTGCAATGTATCCCCATGGGGCTGATCTGGCTTTCACTTATTCAATACATGTCTTACATCGCTGTGCTGCAGGCCAACGAATCAAACACCCAGAACGCTCACCCCTGTAAACTTTCACCACATGCTCT